GGTGAGTAGAAAATGAAGGCTAATCATGTTTTGGGTGTACTATTCCTTTAAAGGTTCAGGGTCTCAGCTGAGGGGAAGTTTAACCCCTTAGGGTCGTAGAAACAAATTCTGCCTAAAATTACACATGTGAATTAAAGTCCAGCTCCCAAACTATAAATTAGAAATACAACTGTTTGTAATTGTTGAACATAAAGGCATTGAGGAATATCTTTCAGGTGGAATCACTATTTTAAATGTCACCATGTCTGATTTATAGGTGATTAAACTAAGAAAAAATGAAAAATATTTTGCCTCACCAAATTTTTCCAAACTAAAAATTGCGAAACACCATGAAAGCCCATTTGAAACTCTGGATGAACCCTCAGACTTTATAGATCCACATCTTGACTATAGCTCAAGCTAATTTGGACTGAATCAATTGAAGCACGTTTAGGTTTTAGTGGGCAGTGAGCTAGGAGGAAATATCATTTTAACACAATGCCAAAAGTGACCAAATTATGCAAAAATGCATTTTTCCACTCATAAAAGGAAATCTGGTCAGACAAATATTCTGATTTCCATTATTGGAGACCTTCTGCATGAGGCAAAGTCTTTGCTCCTCAGATTTAGTCGTTGGTTCATTGAAATTTACCAATAAAATCACCAAACTGAATAGAAAATAAGAATAACAGAGCAGCTTATGGAATGCATGCCGGTTACATCACCTGAAATGGTCTCACAATGACCTCTGACCCCTCCTTGGAAAGGGCTGAACGTCTAGTTTCCAATGATGCCCGCCGTCAGTGGGCGGGGCTAAAAATGAATACCTGCTGTTGCATTACTCCCGCAGAGTCACCACGCCAGGTGGGATTCTACATCTCATTTTATTTATTTATACAGTTATAAAACAAAATGTATTTTTGAATACATGGTGTGGATGAAACACCATGTGACTGTGTTTGGGCCATTTCTATAAATAGATAAACATCAGCTGGACCCGGTCCTAATAAAACCAATAAAATAGACTTGATTAAACCTGATTTTATTAATGTTTAGCTTTAGGAATGACATTAGAAAATAAAAAATAAAATAAAATTCCAAGCGAGCATTTTTATCCTGCTTATAAAGATGCTATTTGTGGATGAAAGCTAACTTTGAACAGGTGAAGCATAACGGTGGCAGCATCATGCTGTGGGTTTGACTTTCTTCAGATTTTTGAAGCCTGATTAACTGAAATCCTGTGGATGAAGTTTAACGTCCAGCTCGATATTTTTCAACTTAAAATCTTTAATAGAAAAATAGAATAAAATGCAGCACCAGGCTCTGCATTTTATTCTATTTTCCTTTGGGCTGCAACTAACGACTATTTTGCAAATTGATTCTTTAGATTAATCGATTAATAATCAGGTAGCCAAAGGTTCCTTAAAGAAGAATTTGTACGAAATTAAACGGATAAAACAAAAACTTTTCCACCTGAGCAGTTTTGGATAAAGCAGATTGACAGACGGAAAACTTTTTTTTATCTTAAATGCAAAATGTTCATTTTTTTTACAATCTTTGTATAATTCCTTCTCTAAGTTGGTCGCTCTGTCAGATAAAGATGTTTTAGATTCTCTAGCCTCCAGTTAACGATTAATCAATTACTAAATTAGCTAAAGATAATTTCAATAACTGATTAATCTGAATAATTGTTACAGCCCTAATTTTCATGTGTTTTATTTCCCTTCATTGTTTAGGAGCATGTCTGCTGTTGTTGACTGATTTAAAAACATCTAAAACAGTTTTGAATGTTCTCTCTATTAAACGTTAAAATAAGCGTTCTGTCTACAGTTGCAGATTTCAGCACCGGTCGCGTCGGAGCTCCTCTGATCTGCTGTGAGATTCAGCTCAGAGATTGGACCGAAGGTACGCCTATAAAACATGCTGCTACACGCTGGACGCGCTGTGCAGAACAGGAACTGGTTTAGATGCCATGATGATGATGATGATGGTGTGCAGCGGTCTGTTTACCGCTCTGTTTACTCCTCAGGTGGCTACACCAGCAAAGACCAGCCCAACCCAAGAGGGGAGATCCTGATCGGTGGTCCCAACGTGACCATGGGCTACTTCAGGCAAGACGGCAACAATCAGGACTTTTTTGTGGATGAAAAAGGTCAGAGGTGGTTCTGCACCGGAGACATCGGAGAGGTTTACCCCGATGGCTGCCTGCAGATCGTAGGTCAGTATATTCCCATCCAATCAACTTCACTTTACCGTTTATTGGCAGAGAAGCTGCTTTCCAAAAAAAGACAATTAAAAACAATCAGCTGGACTTTGTTTCCCAGTTTGAAGACG